ATGTGACACGGTGTCTATCAGTGGTCTTCTCTGCACTAGAGGCGACAGCGACGACGACAACAACAACAACGAGCGACATTTGTACAGCGCCTTTCACGTCGGGGGGGACGTCCCAAGGCGCTGGACAGACAGGGAATGGGACCCGAGCCGGGGGTTGGGATCATGAGGAGTGGAGGGGCCAGGGAGGGTGGGGGAAAGACGGGTGACCGAAGGCGCGGTCAATGATGAGGGTCTTGAGACGGGCCTTGAAGGAGAAAAGGGAGGCAACGAGGCGGAGGGACTGGTGGGGCGGGCCGGGCGGGGGATGTGGAGCAGGCCGCAGGTCACTGAGCGGAGGGAACGGACATGTCCGTAGAGAGCAAGGAACACTCTTCACTCTTTTCCCCTCTCACAAGAGCACAAAAGATCAGTTCGGGTGAAGAAGACCCTTTGGCCCAACTGATCTCATCCTTTGAGAATGTCCGTCCCTATCAGATTTCAATCCATTTGAGCTTGGGCTACTTTAAGATGCTCCAAATGATAATAATAATAATAAATAATAATAATAACAATCCTTGCATTTGATGTAGAGCCTTTTCACGTTGTTGAGGCATCTCAAAGCTCAGGATACACCATAAAATGATTTGACTGTATATTTTGTGGGCGAAACACGGCAGCCCATTGAGCACAGCGGTGTCCCACACACAGTCTGGATTGAGTGACCAATATTTTTTTGAGGGATCCGTTACCCCCGGAAAGCCATCTGCCAATCGACGAAAAAACCGGGCTCCTACTTACCGCTAGGTAAACAGAGGCGCGTGGGGAGAGAAAAATTTGCCTGAGATTTTTTGCTCCACCCGGGAATCGAACCTGGGTTGATTGCGGGTGCTCTAACCACTACTTTACAGGATTGCGCGGGTTATCAGGAGTGGCGAGTTAGGCGCACGTATAAATACATAAATAAATGCAGCCGGAGTATTGACAGTACGATGACTAAGGTGATGGTGACAAGTTAAGCCGGGCCAAGTTATCAGGCGCTTTCTGCATTTCAAATACAATTTCCATATAAATATTTCCATGGTCTCGGACTTAATAACCTTGTGTAGCAAATCACAACAATGTATATTTATTTATACAGCACCTTCCCTATCGGAAGGACATCTCAAAGTGCTTCACGCCGTGAATAATGATAATCCTTGTATTTTGCTATAGAAGCCTATCAGGTCGTCTTAAAGTACTTCACAGGATTTACTGTGAAGTGTAACGACTGTGTATTTAGTAGGGGTGGAGGTGGCAGTCATTTTTTACACAGCAATGCCCCCCCCCACCCCCAAAACAGCCGGGGGATTGTTGGCCAGGACACCAGGAGAGAATGAAAGTGCGCTCGAAAGGATAGATTGGTTCTGAGGGTGGGGCAGAAAAAGGAAGGAGGGAGAGCACAGAGAGGCAGAAAGAGAGGGAGAGAGTGAACGGAATGGAGGAAGAAAGGGGGGGATGGAGGAAGAGAGGGGGGAATAGACGGCAGGAGGGAGTATTGGAGGGGGAAAGGGAGTATTGGAGGGGGAGAGGGAGTAGTGGAGGGGAGAGGGAGTAATGGATGGGGGAGAGGGAGTAATGGAGTGGGAGAGGTGGGAATGGAGGGGAAGAGGGAGTAATGGAGGGGGAGAGGGAGTAATGGAGGGGGAGAGGGAGTATTGGAGGGGAAGAGGGAGTAATGGAGGGGGAGAGGTGGGAATGGAGGGGAGAGAGAGAGACAGTGTCAGAGGGAGTGAGAGCGAGAGATAATGTCAGAGACACGGACAGACAGACAGACAGACAGACAGACACAGTATCATACAGACAGAGAGAAAAAGTGAGAGGGTCAGAGAAAGAGAGACAGAAAGCCTGACAGGAATAGCGTCAGAGAGAGAGAGAGGGAAACAGAGAGAGGAATAGTATCAGAGAGAAATAAAGATGGAAAGAGTGATACTGTCAGGGAGGAGACAGACAGACAGACAGACAGACAGACAGACAGACAGACAGACAGACAGACACAGTCAGACAAACAGACAGACAGACAGTGATAGTGTCAGAGAGAGAGACAGTAATAGTGTCAGAGAGAGGGAGAGAGAGCAAGGCGGAAACAGAGAGAAGAATAGTGTCAGAAAGAGGGATAAAGAGAAAAAGAGAGACAGAGACAGCGATAGAGTGTCATAGATAGGGAGAAAAAGATAAAAACACAGAGAAGGTCAGAGAGGTAGAGAGTGAGAGTGTCGCAAAGAAAGGGATATGATCAGGGAGTTACAGAGAGAGCGTCAGAGAGAGTAAGAAAGGAGGATGGATGGACTGAATAGTCTCCTCTTACATCAAAGCAGCAGTGAGAAACACATCACTGCACGTATAAATATTCATTCTCTCCAGTCTGCAGCATCACTAGCTGACGTGACACTGTTTCCTTTCTTTGGTCTTTACATAAGCTCCTCAGCAGTATTTTCCGCCTGGTATCTTGCTTGTAAATGCAATCCGATAGCTCAGCTCGGGAGAAATAAAGCCAGGTTGATTTCGCAGCCTAATAAGGTAAAATCCCTGCCCCACAGCCTTTTTCCCAACTCTCCCGAGATCTTCACGAGTGAGAAGTTAGATCGCAGGGTGGTCTTGTGAACTTTAAAGAGAGAACAGCTGGGATGAATTCTTTGGAGGGAGGGAAGGGGGCTGGGAAGCCGGGCAGAGAGAACGATTTATAATATAATAATATATAATGATAATAATCCTTGCATTTGATACAGCGCCTCAAGGCGTAGATACCAAATGCAAGAATTATTACCATTCTCGTGTCGTCAAGACCTCTCAAAGCGCTTCACGGGATGTACTGTAAAGTGTTTTTGTGGCCGAAAACAATTGTGCACCGCAACGTGACACAAACAGTTATGGATGAGTGTCCAAATGTTTTTACAGTGGTTATTACTCCTGGAAAACGATCCACCAATCGACTAACAACGGGGTTCCTATTTACTGCTGGATAAACAGGGACGTGTGGAGTGAGGAAACGTGCCTAAGGATTCGCTTCGCCCCGCCCGGGAATCGAATCCAGATCCTCTCGCTTGCGAGGTGAGCAATGTTAACCACTACTCTACAGTCACTGAGGCCAGGGAATCCTCCCACTCAGCTCCTGTTAGCCCTGCCAGCCAAAGCCCTAACAGGTAGGGTGGTCCTAGGCTGGACAAGCAGCGGGAAAGCTTGTCAGACAGCAATATCAGTGGCAAGCTGTATGGTTTTAGCTGTATGCTTCCACCTGTTACCCCAACCCACACGCTGGGTTTCCCCAAGCCTCGGGTGGGAGGAACTCCCTTCTCTTTTCATTTAGCGCCATGAGATCTTTAACGTCCGTTCACCCTCAACCAGGGCACAGACGAGACCTCGGTTTAACGTCTCATTCGAAGGGCGGCATCTCCACCATGGGAACACGGGAACACAGGAGTAGGCCGTTCAGCCCCTCGAACCTGTTCTGCCATTCTATTGGATCATGGCTGATCTTTCCCACATTGCCTTCGGTCACCCTCCTTCTGCCCCTGCCCCCCCCCCCCCCCCCCCACTCTGCCCGATCCCGACCCCCAGCTTGGGTCCAAAACATTGATTGTCCTCACCTAACAAAAATCTATCCACCTCAGTCTTGAAAACTTGAATGGATCCACGGCCTTTTTGGGGGAGAGAGTTCCGGATCTCCACTGCTCTTTGTGTAAAACAATTCCTTCCTGATTTAACTCCTATGTGGCCTGGCTCTAAAGTTAAGATGATGCCCTCCTTGTTCTGGATTCCCCCCTAACCAGAGGAAATAGTTTCTCTGTAGCTCCCCGATTGAATCCCTTTATCGTTATAAATAGTCTAATCAGATCAACCCTCAACTTTCTAAACTCAAGGAACTACAAGCCAAGTTTACGCAAACCGTCCTCGTGATTTAACCCTTTAAGCCCTTGTATCGTTCTGGTGAATCTGTGCTGTACCCCACTCCATGGCCAATATATCTTTCAATACAGAGCAACAATGCAGCTCTTCCCCTGAAGACCCCAAATTCATGACGTGTGGGGTCTTGAACCCATAACATTCGGAACTAGAGGCGAGAGCGCTACTGACTGAGCAAAGCTCGCACGTTCATGCGAGGAAACACATTGATCAGCATAATATGTGCTTACCTTTTCCCCCGGTTGCCTTCTCCTTTCCGCATTTTGCTCCCGTGTTTTTTCTCTATTTTTATCCAACAAAAAAAAAGATAAAAATCGAGATGTTAATTGAATACGTTTCTGCTCTGTCCCCAGACGGGTCTGCAGTATTCCAGTATTCCAGGGCTCTGCTATTGACAGCAAGGCCAGCCTGGCTCATCGGCAGGACTTGGAAGGGCAAACCAGTCACTGGGGGGCTGAAAATCCACCCACTCCTGTTAACCCCGCAATCCAAAGCCTTAATGGCTTGGGTGGTCCTAGCTGGACAAGCAGTAGATAATCTTGCCAGACAGCAATATCAATGGCAAGCTACGCGGTCTTAGCTGGTTAGACTCCAGCAGTCACCCCCCAACACGCACTCTGGGGAGTCCCCCAAGCCTTGGCACTTGCCAACCTGCGCCTAATACTTTCTGAAATTAGGTAAGCAAAATGTGTCCCTCCAGGGAGAGAGAGTGCGCATTATATTCCAACAATCTATCTCGGGGATTCCCATGTGTAGGTGGGATGCATGGAATACTCAGTTTGGTTTGGATACTCTTAAGCACGGTGATGGGTTTCCGCGTGTGGCTGACCAAAAAAAGGGTCGCACCCTTATGAGTGTGAGCAGTGGTATGT